AATTGAGTAAAATATCGTTTAATTACTAATTTTTAATGAATTTCCGGTATTTTATCATAATTTAAGTAATTTAAGTTTCAAGGTTGAAAAACACTGCTTCTATAAGATAAAGGCACAGGTTTTCGTTTGTTTTGTTTTTCTTTTCGCAAATCGATGGGTTTTGAAAACAGAAATTTCACTTTGAAATAAATTAAGAATGCGGAGAGCGATACGTGTTTTGTTTTAGATTTTTGTTTTTAATTAGAAAACCGAAATTGGAATAAAAGTTATTCTTTATTCATTCAATAAGTAAAGAATAAAAAAATCTTCTGGAACTGAGGTGTTTGAAAATTTCACTGTAAAACAACAAATTTATTACATTTTTGTTGTTAATTTCAGGTAATACTAGAAATTCATTTTTGAAAAATTCAATTTCAAAATCGTTTAAATCTTACTTTATTTTTGAGATTTTTGCATAGTTCTTTTCTTATATTTATAAAAAAACAATGACAAGAAGTCAACTTTTTTTTTAAATTTCACTATTTGTAAGTAAAGACTGCTAAATTGCATTCAATATCTATCAATATTGAATAGATATGATTTTGTAGTTTACTAAAATCCATCTTGTTTTGAGAAATTTAAATTATATTAATTATAGATATTTATGCTTTTAATAATTGACAAATATTTTGCTCTACACTTGTATATTTGATCAGTTTTATCGTGATTAAGTATACTTAAATAAATAGTTACTAATTTGAACAAAAAAAAATGGGTAAGTAAAATTTTTTAAACAATTTTTTTTGTACTAATTTTTATTTGTAGCTTCTCCAGTAAAAAGTGTTGATAGTCATACGTTGGTGAGTTACGTGGATAAATCAAACATAGACGATGAAATTGTTCCCTACAAAGTACTTAAAACATCTAGTAAGCAAACAAATTGTATTTGTTCGTAAACCGAATACTTAATTGTTTACATTTCAGATGATGAACTGAAGAGTGAACTGGGCGACTTGGAAAAATGTATTGTAAAATCAGTGCAAGATTTTGAAGATTTGTTAGATTCTGTCTCTACGGATTTCGAAAAGTTTTCTATAGAGTCGTTTCACAGTTTCGTTAAAAATGAGTCGAAGACGTCGCCGTTTGAGTATCCTAGAGTGAGCGAGGACAGTTTCGGAAATAAGATTTGTATTTTGGGTGTGAACGGAACAAGAATTTTCGAAGATCGCTTGAGTACGATAGATTGGAGCGATTACAAGAAGGCGACTTTCGATTTACTCAATGTGGTCTTCGGTGAGGAGGTTTTGGCTACTCACACGTTGACGAGAAGACGACCGAAGATGCCTCAATTGGAGACGAACAAAGTCGAGGATATAATTTCCATCGTGACTGCTAAATGTAACACTTACGATTTCGATGTGTACGAGACGATTTCGATGCGTTGCAACTATTTGCATATGCATTACAAAAAACGTATGGCAGAATTACAGAGATTCAATGCAGATGAACATTAATATTTGCATTATAATTATTTGTAAATCGTCTTTTTCATTTGTAATAAAAATATTTGTGTGTTTTATGCAAGTTGTCTTATTTAGTCTATTCTTTACATAAGTTGAGTTTGTCTTTGGTTTTCAATGAAAATATCTCAAAAGATTGATGTGAAAATAAAGATTTGTTCGAAAACCGAATTCGTTTTCTCAATTTAGAATTCAACGTAAAATGGATGAAAAATCTGTTTTGAAGACCCAAATTTTTGTTAATTTAAACCAACAAAAATTAACAAAATCTTTAAAAATATCACGATTTAAACAAAGTTTAATTAATTACTTGAAATTGGTAATGAAGTAATAAAAATTTGGAAATAATTTAAATTATCGCATTTATATGAAAATTTTGTCAACATTTGTCCACGATTCATGACAATGGATGCAAAAATTAGTGAGTTTTCTTTTAAATGTATTAAAAATCTAATAATCGCACTGTTTGAAACCGTACTAATTGAGGTAGTGAATAAATACATAAAAATGAACCAAAGAAAAGAGACTTGATTACGAAAATATGGAAAAACCTATCAATTAGTTCGTTTTCTTTCAAATTTATAGAAAACTTAAGTGATCCAAAAACCGCACTGTTTGAAACCGTACTAATCGAGGAAGTGAATAAATACATAAAAATGAACCAAAGAAAAGAGACTTGATTACGTAAATATGGAAAAACATATCAATTCATTAGTTTGTTTTCTTTCAAATTTATAGAAAACTTAAGTGATCAAAAAATCGCACTGTTTGAAACCGTACTAATCGAGGAACTGAATACATTGAAACAAAATAAGCCACAGGAAAGACAGTTGACTATATAAATGTGAAAAACCTATCATTTATGTATCTTATTTGGACACGAAAATTAGTTTGTTTTCTTTCAAATTTGAGTGACAAAAAAAACCGCACTGTTTAAAACCGTACTAATCGAGGTACTGTATAAATACATACAAATAAACTGCAGAAAGGAGACTTGACTATATAATTGTGAAAAAGCATATCATTTTTGTACACTACACAAAAATTAGTTTGATTATTTTCAAATTTATTGAAATTTTTTATGTGATTGCAAAAACTGCACTATTTGAAACCGTACTAATCGAGGAACTGAATACATGCAAACATAATAAACCGCAGAAAGGAGACTTAACTATAGAATTGTGAAAAAACATATCATTTTTGTATATTACACAAAAATTAGTTTGTTTATTTTCAATTTTATTGAAAATTGTTATATGATTGAAAAACCGCAGTGTTTGAAACCGTACTAATCGAGGTACTGTATAAATACATACAAATAAACTGTAGAAAGGAGGCTTGACTATATAATTGTGAAAAAACATATCATTTATGTTTGGACACGAAAATTGGTTTGTTTATTTTCAAATTTATTGAAATTTTTTATGTGATCCAAAAACCGCACTATTTGAAACCGTACTAACCGAGGTACTGTATAAATACATACAAATAAACTTCAGAAAGGAGAGTTGATTATAGAATTGTGAAAACCGTACTAATCGAGAAAATTAATAAATTCATACAAATAAACTGCAGAAAGGAGACTTGACTATATAATTGTGAATAAACATATCATTTTTGTACAGTACACAAAAATTAGTTTGTTTATTTTCAAATTTATTGAAAATTTTTATGTGATTGAAAAAGCGCACTGTTTGAAACCGTACTAATCGAGGAAATTAATAAATTCATACAAATAAACTGCAGAAAGGAGACTTGACTATATAATTGTGAAAAAACATATCATTTTTGTACACTACACAAAAATTAGTTTGTTTATTTACAAATTTATAGAAAACGTAAGTGATCAAAAAATCGCACTGTTTGAAACCGTACTAATCGAGGTACTGAATAAATACAGAAAGAAGACTTGACAATATAATTGATTTTATTTTCAAATCCGTACTAATCGAAGCAGAACTATGCGAGGAATTGCTGTTGTTTACTAAGAAAAATTATGTTCGGAAACCGAGGGTGTTTTGATTTTGATTTTACCAAGGTAAAATTTAGTTGTCTAAAACATGTGTAATCTTTAAATTAAGAAAAAAGTAATATTGTTTAAGAATCTGTTAAATTTCAAAATTCTTCCAGATTTACTTTATCTTTGAGATTTTTGCAAAAATGTGTTTTTATATTAGATAGAATGTAGAAAACGAAAACTTTTTTTTTTCAAAAAATTTACGGTACAAATAGTAAAAATATGCAAAAATCCGTCACTTTCTCTCAATATTGAAATGGATATGCAGGTTTGTTGAGAGTTTTACAGTGTTTATTCGTTTTCAATTCTTATTTTATGCTTTTAATATTTGACAAATATTGTTTGTGCTTGTCTATACGGAAATTAGTTAATATCAAACAATGGGTGAGTACATTTTCTTTTGTAAAAATTGTTGTAATTTCTTTCATAATTTTTTTTATTGGGTAGATGCTCCAACTAAATGTATAAGTCATGGTTATATGCTGGTGAGTTACGAGAAACGTTCAGTTACGCATTACAAAGTTATCAACTGCATAAATGTCTGTGGACACCACACTTGGACTCGGTTGCCGCAAGACGATAATATTAACGTTAAATTCGACAATGAAATCGTTGCGTGCAAAGTAATTATGACATCGAGTAAGTTTATTAAATTTATGTTTTTTTTATTGCAATGAACGAGAATACTTTATTGTTACGTTTTAGATGATGAAGATGAATTGAAGACTATACTGTACGATCCGGACAAACCCTATCACGCATCGATCGAATTGCCTACGTGCGTCTACCCTTTGCTGGTGTTCGACCAGCTTGGCAATAATGTTTACATTTTGGGAACGAACGGAACGGTAATTTCCGAATTCTGCATGAATAAGATCAATTGGAACGATTATCACGCGGCGACTTCTCATCTGCTCACTGCGGTTTTCGGTCAGGATACGCTGGCCACCCACACGTTGACTGGACGGCAACAGCCGAAGCCTCGGTTGGATCCGATGAAAGTCCAAGATATCACATCGATTGTGACTGATAAATGCGGCGTGATCGTGGACGATGTTCGCGAAGAAATTAAGAGACGATGCCATCTCGAATACATGAAATACAAGTATTAGATCGGAAATGTTTACAGTTTCATAATCCTTTGTGCTCGTCACCATTGAAAATTTTGTAATTATTTTAATTAATAAATACTTTTTTAAGCCGTAGATTCGTCGAATTTAATTCTAAAGGTCAAAATGACCCGTTTATTAAATGCATGTTTAATAACACTTTCAAATCTAAATATTGACGATATTTCAAGAACGTATTTGCTGTAAACGGGTCATTTTGACCCGAAATACACACTAACATTAAAAACAAGTGATCTCGACGCGATTGCTTTGATTCTACAGAAAAAGTACTCTATACAATATTGGAATAGTTAGAAGATCAACCCTCATATAAGGTGGGTCACTCTGACCCATCCGTAGTACTTATTTTCAATTTTATTGAATTTTTTTTGTGAACTAAAAACCGCACTGTTTTAAACTGTACTAATCGAGGAACTTAATAAATACATACAAATAAACTGCAGAAAGGAGACTTGACTAAAGAAATGTGAAAAAAATCGATCATTTATGTTTAAAAACATAATATTGACGATATTTCAAGAACGTATTTGCTGTAAACGGGTCATTTTGACCCGAAATACACACTAGAATTAAAAACAAGTGCTCTCGAAGCGACTGCTTTGATCGTACAAAAAAGTACTCTATACAATATTGGAATAGTTAGATAGGTCAATCTGACCCATCCGTAGTACTTATTTTCAGTTTTATTGAAATTTTTTTGTGATCAAAAAATCGCACTGTTTGAAACCGTACTAATCGAGTAACTGAATAAATACATACAAATAAACTGCAGAAAGGAGACTTGACTATATAATTGTGGAAAAAACATATCATTTTGTACACTAAACAAAAATTAGTTTGTTTATTTTCAAATTTATTGAAAATGTTTATGTGATTGAAAAATCGCACTGTTTGAAACCGTACTAATCGAGAAACTGAATAAATACGTACATATAAACTGCAGAAAGGAGACGACTATATAATTGTGAATAAACATATTATTTTTGTACACTACACAAAAATTAGTTTGTTTATTTTCAAATTTATTGAAAATTTTTATGTAATCGAAAAACCGCACTGTTTGAAACCGTACTAATCGAGGAACTGTATAAATACATACAAATAAACTGCTGAAAGGAGACTTGACTATATAATTGTGAAACAACATATCATTTTTGTACACTACACAAAAATTAGTTTGTTTATTTTCGAATTTATTGAAAATTTTTATGTGATCGAAAAAATCGCACTGTTTCAAACCGTACTAATCGAGGAAATGAATAAATACATACAAATAAACTGCAGAAAGGAGACTTGACTATAGAATTGTGAAAAAACATATCATTTTTGTACATTACACAAAAATTAGTTTGTTTATTTTCAAATTTATTTAAAATTTTTATGTGATCGAAAAACAGCACTGTTTGAAACCGTACTAATCGAGGAATTGTATAAATACATACAAATAAACTGCAAAAAGGAGACTTGACTATAGAATTGTGAAAAAACATATCATTTTTGTACACTACACAAAAAGTAGTTTGTTTATTTTCAAATTTATTGAAAATGTTTATGTGATTGAAAAATCGCACAGTTTGAAACCGTACTAATCGAGGAATGTATAAATACATACAAATAAACTGCAGAAAGGAGACTTGACTATATAATTGTGAAAAAACATATCATTTTTGTACACTACATAAAAATGAGTTTGTTTATTTTCAAATTTATTTAAAATTTTTATATGATCGAAAAATCGCACTGTTTGAAACCGTACTAATCGAGGAACTGTATAAATACATACAAATAAACTGCAGAAAGGAAACTTGACTATATAATTGTGAAAAAACATATTATTTTTGTACACTACACAAAAATTAGTTTGTTTATTTTCAAATTTATTAAAATTTTTTATATGATCGAAAAACCGCACTATTTGAAACCGTACTAATCGAGGAAATGAATAAATACATAGAAATAAACTAAAGAAAAGAGACTTAACTATATAATTGTGAAAAAAAAAAATCGATTATTTATGTTTAAAAACATAATATTGACGATATTTCAAGAACGTATTTGCTGTAAACGGGTCATTTTGACCCGAAATACACACTAGAATTAAAAACAAGTGCTCTCGACGCGACTGCTTTGATCCTACACAAAAAGTACTATATTCAATATTGGATTAGTTAGAAGATCAACATTCATATCAAGTGGGTCACTCTGACCCATCCGTAGTACTTATGGGTTACTTTTAAATATAAATAATTCGATTTACTCCTTTTTTTCAATGTTTTATTTGAAATTTAAGGAATTCTTTCGATTATTTTTTTGTAAAATTTATTGAAAAGTGACCAAAAGATTTGTTTGACAAATTTTCTTCAAAAAAAAATCCAATTTTTCAAATGAGAAATTACAATTTTCGAGAACACAAGAAAAAATTTGACTCATTCTGTATGAAGATAATGAAAAATCATTTTGAAAAGTCGAGACATATGTTAATTTTTTAAAAAATTAACTTTTTCTTTTCACATATTTTCTTCGTCAAATTGCAAATTTTCAAAGTTCGACAACCGAAGTGAAATTAATGAACTTAATGAACAATTTGGAAAAAGTTATTTTAGTTAGTAACCTAACTGTGATGAAGCATAAATTCATTGTGAATTAGTTCAAATTTACTCCTGATTTGATATTAAAAACGAAAGATTTTTATATTAGTAAAAATATGTAAAAAGAAATTTGTTTTTTTTTTCCTCTTTAAAAATTTCGCACTAAAAATTGTATAGTCTTCGAAATAGGCTAGTTTATATCAATATTGAAATATAAATATGCTTGTTTCCAAAGAATTAAATAGGTTTAAGCAATGATGAAAGTCGATTAATTTAAGAAAGATAATTTGAATAAATTCATTTATCTTGGACAAAGTTTATATGATATTTGTTTATAATTGTGCTTAAATTAAATAGTTTAAAAGAAAAATGGGTGAGTTAATTATGTTTTGTAATGATTTATTTTTGTTTTGTAATCAAATTAATAGATTTTAGATACGCGATTGTGAGCTACGTCAAAGACTCGACGACTTTCTATAAGATAGTGGAAAGAGGTGCAATATTTGATATGTATGATCATAATCAACGATATTACTTTATTTCAATAATACAAGATGGGTTTCATGAAGTTTTTGACTGCAATCTAATTAAGACGTCGAGTGAGTTAACAAAAAAAATTATATAATAATGATTTCGTAATTTCGAATTTCTTATAGATTATGAGAGTGATCTGAGAGTGGAAATGACTACTGTTGTAGCCAATAACTTGGTGAATCGTCAACCGGAGAAACCCGTCACTTACGTCGTCTCACCTGACACGATCGAAGAGGACGTTGGTGATGATGATGAATCGGACGATGATGAAGCGAGCATTGACAGAATTACCGACGATGTTTTGAATGTGATACAATGGAGCGATTACAGGACAGCAACGAATACTCTACTTTCTACGGTTTTTACAAATGAGACATTGGCAACTCATACTCGGTTGGGACAGAATTATGCTGGGCTTCAGTTGGATCCAGAAGCTGTCGATCGTATAGTTTCCATCGTTATTGATAGATGCGGCGTGGAGGAAAACGATGTGTTCGAAGTAATTCGAAAACGATACAATCAAGAGAATGCGAGAGTAAAATATAAACAGAAAAAAACTAGAGGTAAATGAGAACAAGTGTTGTTAACATAATTTGATTATTTCAAAAATGATGGAAGTTAAACGCACATAAACATATTTAAATTATGCAAGTAAATTAATAAAACTATTTGTTTCTTTTTTTTTTGTTTCTTTTCGTTGTAAACCGAAAATTCACTCTTTGGAAAGTGCAATTATGTGATGAAGGTGAAATTAATCTTGGATCATTGAGATTATTGAAAAATCACCTTAGTTACGAAAGCGTTGCCATGTGTTTAATTGAAGAAATTATAAGAAACAAACAATCTTTCAACAATGCTAAACCATATTTTAATAGAAATGTACTTAATTTCGATACTCCGAAAATTGGGTAATGAGCTTTAAACGTTTGCGAATGAGCGGCGGATATATCCGCCCTATTCTTTAAACATAAGACTTTGCTTATGGAAAATAGCTTGTAGTGGCGCAGTCATCGAATCTTAGTGCGATATTAGTTAATGATAAAAACTCGTAAATTTCTCGATAGATGGCGTTTTTTTTTTATTGGGATTCCCGTTAGTGTCCCAATGATATTAACAAATATATTGCTTGTAAATAATCTTATTTAGATGTTTTTTATTGTTGTGAAGTTTATACGCGCGTGTGAAAACCTCCAGAGGATAATTTGGGTTGAGATTATTGAAAAATCACCTTGGTTACTAAAACGTTTCCAAGTGTTTAATTGATGAAATTATAATTAATAAACAACACTGCTAGACCATATTTTAATTGTAATGTACCTAATTTCGATAGTCCGCAAATTGGGTAATGAGCTATAAACGTTTGCGGATGAGCTGCGGATATATTCGCCCTATCATTTAAACATGAGACTTTGCTTATGTAAAATTGCTTGTAGTGGCGCAGTCATAGAATCTTAGTGCGAAATTAGTTAATGATAAAAACTTGTTGCTTTCTCGATAGATGGCGTTTTTTTTTATTGGGATTCCTTTCAGTGTCCCAATGTTATTAACAAATGTATTGCTTGTAAATAATCTTATTTCGATGTTTTTTATTGTTGCGAAGTTTGTACGCGCGTGTGAAAAACCTCCAGAGGATAATTTGGTTTGAGATTATTGAAAATTCAACTTGGTTACGAAAGCGTTGCCAAGTGTTTAATTGAAGAAATTATAATTAACAAACAACACTGCTAGACCATATTTTAATTGAAATGTAATTAATTTCGATACTCCGCAAATCGTGTAATGAGCTTTAAACGTTTGCAAATTAGCGGCGGATATATCCGCCCTATCATTTAAACATGAGACTTTGCTTATGTAAAATTGCTTGTGATTGTGCAGTCATCGAATCTTAGTCCGAAAATAGTCAATGATAATAACTCGTTGCTTTTTCGATAGATGGCGTTTTTTTTATTGGGATTCCCTTTAGTGTCCCAATGATATTAACAAATGTAATAATCTTATTTCGATGTTTGTTATTGTTGTGAAGTTTATAGGCGCGTGGGAAAACCTCCAGAGGATAATTTGGGTTGCGGTTCTTTCTTCTACGTGAAGGGATATGGATGGAGATGGGGCTCATCTCGATGGCAGGGATGAAGTAATTATCATTAAGTGGGCCGCGGCCGATCGTAAATGCTGCTGAGATGGAGGGGATCGGAGGTGGCTGGTGTCTTTGGATGGATGAGTGACGGGCCTCTCGGAGAGAACTCTCCTTTACTCCCGATGGTGTATTTATATATAATGATGGAGGCCAGCAGATAGATACAACAAATTGATGCGAGCGTTTGGCGAGAGCCGGGGTCATAACCTCTCCCCCAGAATCGCTTCGCCCTTTCTCCCCCCCTTCATCCTCCAGACGTTCCGAACTATCGTTGCTGGTTCTCGAAGAAAATCCGTGAGGTTGAAGCGGAGAGAAGGGCCACCCCATCCCCAATTACCAGAGGAAAGTCCGCGTGATCCTCATCCTCATCCGAAACCGCCACCTTCTCTGATCCGATTTTCAACGTCGAAACGCTTGTCTCCTGGATGCCGTCGTCTCTTCCAATAGAATTCCCATCGTAGGCAGCCCCCAAATCGCCGCCTCCGAACACACACACAACACACAAATACAAACAACAATCCTCGTTTTTGCCTTGAGGGTGTTGGAATTGTAGTGGTGTTAGAACTGTGGGACGAACGGACGTCTTGTTCAAAATTTAATGAGCGCTGTAATGCACGACCGTAATTAGTATTTACCGACCGGTTCGGTTCATTTACTTGATTAAACGGCGAATATCATCATTCTCTATTAAGAAACCGAAACGAAGCTGACCGGATCCCTTCTTCTTCTGCTGCTGCTGCTGCCCAGTCCCCTCCTCAATTACCATCGCAATCACAATTACACACCATTACAGACGGACGACTACGTTTCTCTCTTTGCGAAAATCACGCACGACTCCCATCAAGTTTATGTCCTTTTTTTTTAATTAGATCTTTAAATCTGTCCTCAGAAACAACGCATAAAGATAATCCTTTCTTAGTATACCAAAAAATTACAAACTTGATTTTCTTGATATCTCATCAATTTTCAATTCATAAAATTTTGAATTTTCTTCACATAAACACAATCAATTTCATTGAGATTATTGAAAATTCACCTTTGTTTACGAAAGCGTTGCCAAGTGTTTAATTGATGAAATTATAATTAACAAACAACACTGCTAGACCATATTTTAATTGAAATGTACCTAATTTCGATGCTCCCTAATGAGCTTTAAACGTTTGCGGATGAGCGGCGGATATATCCGCCCTATCATTTAAACATGAGACTTTGCTTATGTAAAATTGCTTGTAGTGGCGCAGTCATCGAATCTTAGTCCGAAATTAGTTAATGATAATAACTCGTCGCTTTCTCGATAGATGGCGTTTTTTTTTTATTGGGATTCCCTTTAGTGTCCCAATGATATTAACAAATGTATTGCTGGTAATAATTTTACAAACTTGATTTTCTTGATATCTCATCAATTTTCAATTCATAAAATTTTGAATTTTCACAATCACAGTCAATTTCATCTGTAAATGAACATTTTCTTGTCTAAATACGTAAATTTAACAATGAAATTCTTTTGATTTTTTTGAAGATGATCATCTAAAATTTTCAAAACTTCTTGTTTCTTTAAATTCTTTTTATTCTTCGAAGTAATTTATCTAAAATTTCTGTCTCAATTTGCAATTTTGGTGGAATTAAAGTAAATGTATGTTTCTTTCGATATAATTAACAGAAAATTACAATTTTATAGAAAAATTCACTCATTATTACATCAATGAGACAAAAGTTTGAAATTTACTACAAAGTTAACTTTATTGGGACAATCTTAGTTCCAATTCGATTTTATATAGATTTACAGTAATTTTTTCTATAATTTTAGAGATCTTTCTGTATTAGAATATAAAATATCAAACTTTTTGAAAAAAAAAAACAAGAACAAAATGTTAGTGTAATGTATCAAAAAAAAATGTAATTTTGAAAATTCTTAACATGATGCTATTATTTTGATCATACAGATTTTCTGCACTATTTTTGTTTGATCAAGAAGCAATTATGTTAAAATATGTTAGTAAAGTGAACAATTCTTAGTAATTATCTATATTTACATATGGAGTACCACTAGGTATAGTTCTGGGTACTTTTTTCTTGTTGTAATATTACAAAATTGATGTTAATTATTATATTATCAATGTAAACCAAGATGTATTTATATTTCAAGTTGAAATGAAGATTTGGCGGTGAAATGAAAATTCGGTAACAGAAGATGATGATGATTGTGTTCTGAGTAATTACCTATATTATTTACATATGGAGTACCCCAAGGTATAGTTCTGGGTACGTTTTTGTTGTTGTAATATTACAAAATTGATGTTAATTATTATGTTATCAATGTAAACCAAGATGTATTTATATTTCAAGTTGAAATGAAGATTTTGTGGTGAAATGAGAATTCGGTAACAGTGGATGATTGTGTTCTCGATCATGAATTAATTTCCTGCGTCTGCAGACAACAATATCGTGATTATCAAATTCTCCGGAGTTCGCGCGGAAGGGAAGGGTTTGAATTAAACAAAGAAGACGCGAGGGTCGGATGAAAGACGACGTCTTGATTAATTCAACCCCCATCACCGGCGGGAAGATGATTGCTCTTTTAGTCACTGCGTCTCTCCTTCTTGGAGGGACGTGCAGTGCTTCCAAGAGAATCATAATAAATGTTGAGATGTTTTTATACCGGAGCGCGGGCTAATTACCGCCGCGGGTTCCAAGAAATGATGCAATAATTAAGCCGAAGATTTCTTAAGTCTAATTACGTTATTGTTGTTGTTGTTGATGGAAATGTTTCGTTTTTGTTGTTACGTTTGCAGTTTATCATATTCAAATTTCCTGCTTCGCGAACGGAAAGTGAATCAGGGAGACGCGAGAAGCCTTATTGTTACGTGCCATACGATATTATGATACGTTTTAATTAGGGGGAGAATTCTCCATCTCGTTTCCACTCTCTGCAAAGTTAGATGTTGTTTTTTTTTTAATAGGGAAAGTGTTGTTGTTTTGTTTCTTATTCATACGCTTCCCTTCTTTTTGTTTTGTTTTGTTTTTTGTTTTCGAAGGGCTCTATGGTAATTAAGAAAGGGATTTTGCTCCTCTTCCTCCACCATAATAATAATAATAATAAAAGTAATTCGAGCATTAATTGGGTATTAAATTAAGATTCCGAAAATAATAGTCCAATCCGGTCTTCCATTCCATCCAGTTTCTTCTTCTGCTCTTTTTTTTTGTCTTCTCAGTGGAGATGTCGTTATATTGTTAAAATATGTAAATTACTTAATTCATTTGGAAACTTCTTCTCTTTGCGAGAAGAAGACGGAGAATTTGGGTTGGATTCTTGAGATGAAGTGAGAGAGAGAAATGCAGTATACAGATCTTGTTATCTGTCGAGTTTCGTGACAATATTCCTTCCTATTTCTCTTTCGCTGGAAATTATATTTTTTTTTTTGTAATATTGATTTTATTCAGCCTTTTTAATTTCGATTAAGCGTTTCAGCGTCGTAAAGACCGTTGGTTATTCGCTCGAGGCTTTTCGCTCGAC